GCCTGAGAGCTCGCACCGCCGGAGTTTAGGGAGCCACGGCTAGCTCGCCACACCACTGTCGTCCCTGCCTCATAGGGCCCTACGCCCACGTTGTGCCGCGCTACGCCATGCCTGCACCATGGGCACGACCTCCTTGTCCATGGGCACCGCTGTCGTTGCCTGATCGCAAAAGTGGAAGGAGAAAGAAAAGAAAGGGGAGGGAAGAAGAAAGGCGGAAAAAGGACATTTTTTGTTCTTCTCTGTCCTCTGGAGCCAGAAATGGATATTTTATTGGACGCGGTGTTCATGAGCAAATTTAACAACAACCAGCGTGTCTAGCAGCAAATGTGACTTATTCAGTGTCCACTAGCAAAGGAATGTCACTTTCATTGTCATGTAGCCTATTTTGCCAATTTGCTACCACTATCTCCCTTTGCCCCTTGTTTTTGCTTTTATGGTACTTCCACTCTAACGAGTGGCAATCACAACCCATTAACATAGAAGGGGCTCATCCACCTCTTTTCTCCTCTTCTTGTTTCTCATTTTCTTCTTCTTCTTCTTCTTCCTCCTCCTCCTCCTCCTTTTATTCTTCTTCTACTTCAACATTGTCCAAAACTTGTAGAAGAAGCTCCATTGTGTTCACGCCGGTAGGAGGGTTGGAGCCCACCCTGCACCCTCTAGATCCGCACCTGCCTCTAACCTAGCCCATCGTGAATCCTCCGCCACCTTGTCTAGCACTTGACTATCCCCCGTTAGCTATGATTACCTTGCATGCATCATGACATTTTCTCTTTCCATCGAGCAAAAAAAAAACCTATGATGTGAGAAGCTTTTTTAAAACAAAAATCATAACACACCTTCTCCAAAAACAAAATAAACCTCCTATAAAAGTAAAAAAATATATAGATTATTTTCTAGTAGCTAACAACTACTGATAATCTGAAATGAGCTTTGATTGATATAAGCCCATAACTAGCACCTCCTTTTCCTTTTATGAGCCGTTGCATCTCCTATCTGAAAGTCTTAAATAAACTGATAAAAATTAGATTGATAAGTTAACACGATTTAATTACTCTGTCTGCGCAAGCAATGCGGCGACCACAAGCCATAATCATACACCCCATTCGCAGCATCTGTTAGCTGACACTAGAGAAGGGAGACAAAAGTGAAAGACAGCAGAGCAGCAGAAAGTGAAAGAACAAAACTTAACAAATAATTTTCGGAGAAAAAAAATTCTATCAAACAATAAGAAAAAGAGGAAATCAAAGAAAGGCGGGGTAAACAACAGGAAAAGATATCGATTGATTGTGAATCAAAGCAGACGAGAGAAAAAAAAATGGATGGAAAAAAGTAGCTGTAGTGGTAATCATTTGATCTTGAATTCTTGATCCACTAATCCAAGGAGAAAGAGGGAGGGAGATCACTAGTTGTAGTTGAAGCCTTGCAGGTCCACCATCACCTCGCGCCGGCCGGCGCGTCGCAGGCATTGTTTAAGGGAAGGGATTCTCTCTTCCGCCGCGGCTGGGCTGGCTGGCTGGCTGCGTCGCCACGCCCTGCGCACATCGCGCTGCCCAGCTCTGCTGCTGCTGCTGCCGCTGCGTGCGCATCACTGGAAAGACGGGCCTGTGGGGACGGGCTCCTTCTTTCCTTCCCCGCGGCATGAATGATGCTCCTTTTTCTCTTCTTCCTTCCTTCCTTCCTTCCATCTGGCTCAGTCAGCTCTGTCGCCTGCTCCTTCCTCTCGGTCTCCTCTGTCTGTCCATGCTCGGCTGCTGGCCTCCTGCTTCTTGCTTAGGCGTTCTTGGTTGGGGAGCAGCACCGGTGGCGATGGCGAAGGAGACGGAGTACTACGACGTGCTCGGCGTCTGCCCCGCCGCATCGGACGACGAGATCCGCAAGGCCTACTACATCAAGGTCCGCCTAACCTTCTGTCCCCCCGTGCCCCGTCTTTCTTGCTCTCTGCTGCTTCTGCTTAGTTTCTCGGTTCCTATAGTTCCAAAAACAGCAAATGCCTCTTGGTTCCTGCTTATTTCGGGAAGTATTGTATATCTTCGAGTGTTGTTGAGGGTTATTCCGTTTCTTTGTTCAGGCGAGACAGGTGCATCCTGACAAGAACCCCAACGACCCACACGCGGCCGAGAAGTTCCAGGTTCTCACTGCAGCTTGATTTGATCCATATTCTAGTTGGATAGCGACTTGATTCAGTGGAGTAGATGTATGATGTGCTGATAAGCTGAGATTTTTCTTTTTCTTCCTGTGGATGATTCCCAGGCTCTTGGAGAGGCTTACCAGGTGCTGAGTGATCCTCTGCAGAGGAAGGCCTACGACGGTTATGGCAAGAACAGCATATCCAGGTAGATACATGGTTAACATGGTGGAATTTTCCAAAAAAAAAAATGAAAATTAGAGTATGATATAACTCAGCAGCAATCTATACTTTAGAACTCTTATATACTAGTAGTAAGTGGAGCTAAATCTTTTTTAGAGAACGCGCTTAGGCGTGTATTTCATTAAGAGAAAGTGGAGCTAAATCTTGAGAAGGTGTTCATGTTATGTTGGATCAATCCTGATTGTCCATTTTCTTTTCCAGGGAGAACATACTGGATGGTACTGTAGTGTTTACCCTTCTTTTTGGGAGCGAGCTGTTCGAGGATTACATTGGGCATCTTGCAATGGCAACAATGGCTTCCTCGGAGTTGACAAACGATAATGACAGCCCTGAAAAGCTTCAGGATAGGCTCAAGGTTAGCTGACTAAGTAAAAACAATGACCTCTATCTTTACTGATGATACTGTAGTACTTCAAATTTTGATGTGATGATGTTGATTTCACTTTATATTATTGTGATCAAGAATGTACAAAGGGAAAGAGAGGAAAAGCTAGCTAGATTCCTCAAGGAATTCCTCTCTCAGTATGTTCGTGGAGACAAAGAAGGATTTGCTAATCGTGCTGAAGCTGAGGCAAAGAGGCTCTCAAGCACTAGTCAGTCTTCTGATCCTAGTAAACGATTTTTGTTTTTATATGTCCTCTCACATTCAACTCATTGTGAATGTCCATTTGCAGCATCTGGATTGGATATTCTTCGCACCATTGGATATATCTATTCTCGACAAGCAGCAAAGGAGCTTGGCAAGAAGGCCGTGTACCTAGGACTGCCATTCGTAGCCGAGTGGGTGAGGAACAAGGGCCATCTGTGGAAGTCACAGATCACAGCAGCGAAAGGTGAAAAATATTTTTCTTGTGGCAGCTTGTGCTCCGATGATTAAATTGCTGACTGATGAGGGGGCAAAAGGAGAAATGCAGGGGCCCTGCAGCTGTTGCAGTTGCAAGAGGAGGCCTGCCGGCAGAGCAGCAAGGATGGCAATGCCACTGAGCAGGATGTCGACTTGCAGATGAGGATGAACAAGGACCTGATGATGTGCTCACTGTGGAAGCTGAATGTTGTGGATATTGAAATGACTCTATTGCATGTTTGTGAGATGGTATGTGTCTTGACTCTTGAGGTATCCAATTTATATGAAGTATGATAAGTATGAGCAGTATGTGTTCGTAGCTTCAGAATAAAATTTCCTTTATCTAAAAAAAGTGCCTACAACTGTCTGGATTACAAATAGTCTCTTATTCCAGGTTTTTCTGTTCAAATTATCAGCAAATCAAACTTATTTAATTTGACAAGTTTGTTCTTTAGGTGCTATACGAAAACAATGTCAAGAAAGAGGATCTGAAGGCCCGAGCAACGGCCTTGAAAATTCTCGGGAAAATATTTCAGGTACAGTGATTGTCTATTCGTTAATGCAATTTATATAGCTATATGTGCTACATCAACAGTTAAACCAGTAAAACTGTCATTTACAATGTCAATTAAAACATGAATAGAGGGAAAAGGAGGCATTGCCAGCGCCAGCGCCAGGTCCATCAGGACCGTCAAAACGAACAGTTCTCGACGACGACAACAGCTCAGATGACAGTTCAGACGATGACCTGGCCCGGACAGTGCCATACCGGACTCCTGCATTTACCCAGGCAAATTGTCCAGCCACCCGCGTATTTGTTATATATTCAATGATTTATGTGTTGAAATCTTCAGTAAGAAGTTTATATGTTTGTGGTGCAGGGAATCGGCAGGCTGTTCCGATGCTTATGCAACCCGGCTTATGATGTTGACGATGATTTCGAGCCCCGCAAATGAGTCCCAAAGAGGCAGGTACCAACGGATGTTCCAAAGGTTCGTGACTTTTGTCAAGCATATGATTCAGAACAGTGTGAATTCAGATCATATGTTGCCATCCTTTGCCTTAAGGATACACATGTAGATGTTACTTCAGCTCCGGTGATCAGACCAACAGATCAGAGATCCTCATTTTCTCTCCCATGAACAGTAGACCTCCCATCCTTTTTTTGAAATAGATCCAACTGAATGTTGTTGTGCTTATGTAATTGCTTGTTATTGACGTTAAAAAAAGAAGGAAAAGAACAAGTGCTTGTAAAAATCTATTTCTGATCCTAAAATGATATGGGAAATTCAGGTATGATGAACATCAACTTTTGATCCTGTTGTCGGCGTATTGTATTCTGTCTGCAAATATTTTGTAAGTTCCTACACTGCTGTCACTGTCAGAATATACGGAGAGTAGTAGCTTGCTCTCTTTACTGAGACTTTTTAGCATTAGAGACAATTGGAAGTCTCAGTAATGCTAAAAAGTGCTCCTGCTTCAAACATGGATGAAGTTGGATGTCATGCAGAGCCAAATGCAGAGACAGTTTCGACAGATGAGCATGAGGGATGAAATTTTGCGCAGATGGAATGAACCCTTAACAAGCAGTCTGCAGCCTGCATCCATAGAACCACCATTCTGGTTGAGGCTCCTTATGAACTGTACAACCACCACAGCTGCCACATAGAGATACAGTTGCTGTCTCTCTCTCCCCCTCCCACCCACTAGGCCACTACCCTAGTTCTCAGTTCATTTCTTCTATACCAGCTACACACAACTGGAGTTGAATCGCCTGACTACCAGTTGTCAGGCCCGGAGTTTTGCGAAGAGGCTGCCGAAGGAGAAGAAGCTGCTCCTGACCATGCCGCCGGATCTTGTCTCCGGCGCTCTGGCCACCGCAGCAGGCACGCTCACGTTCTTGACGTTGAGCATGGCGGTCTGGCCAAACTGGCCCCGGAGCCCCTCGACGGTCTTCATGTCCACCGGCTGGCCCGAGGGGTCCCGGACGTAGAAGACGTTGGTGGCCTGCCCGCCCGCCGTCGTCACGTCGGCGCGGCTCACCGTGAGGCCGTGCTCCCGGAGCACCCTCGTCACGTCCGACAGCAGGCCCACCCGGTCCCTGCCGCACACCTCCAGCGTGAAGCCCTGCACGTAACGTACGGCGCGTCAGCATCTTATCTTGCCCTGTTCGCTTAAACTACTTTTCAGCCGGGTTAGCTTATTTCAGCTTATTCTCCCTCACAGGACACTATTGAATTAGCCGAAACTAACTGGCTTATGTATCGGCTGGTCCGCTGGCTTATGGTACAGATAAGATTCCTCTGAGCAGCAGGAGACAGGATCACAGGAGTCAGGCAGCGATCAAGCTCTGTACCTCGGATACTCTTCTAGAGATGGCTGCTTCCAGGCACCTGACCACCTTCTCTGCTTCGTCTTTCAGAAGCGTCTTGCCGTCCTTGCGGCGGATGTACAGCTCCTGGAACAAGAACAATGGAAGGAAAAGCTTCATGAATCTGCTTGCATTGCATTGCCTGATACATACAGACGTGACGTGAACAGCATCAGGCACTGATTTGAGTCTACATATGTGTATGTACCTGGATGCCGTAGTTGGCTTCGGACGACACGGCGGCATGGAACACGACGTACTCCATGTCCGTGAGCGTGCACACGATGTCGAACAGCAGCTTGGACCGGTCCTTGCACTTGACGTTCACCACGGAGTAGGACTTCTCCTCGCAGTGCTCCACCTTCACCTCCGGCCTGTCGCCCTCGCCGCCGGCCGCCACGGGCGCGCCGGCGCCGGCGCCATCGTCGCCATCGCCGTGGACGGCGTCCACGTCGGCGTGCATGAGCTGGTGCAGCCGCCGGTCCAGGTGGTGCGGCGTCGAAGAGGCGTCCGTGAAGTTGGCGTGCGCGCCGCTGCCGTCGTCGTCCCCCCCGCCGCCGCCGTAGACGCGGAGCACATGCCGCAGCCGGTTCTCGATCGTGGACACGCGGCCCGGGTCGTCGATGGCCTGCCCCGTGGCCACGTCGTTCACGTACACGATGCAGGCCACGCGCATGCGGTGCGTCCACACCTCGGCGGCCAGCACGTTGCACTGGAGGTCGGCGAGCACGGCGAAGATCTCCGAGAGGAGGCCCGTCCTGTCGGGCCCCTTGAGCTCGATGGCGGTGTGGTCGCCGATGGAGTGCAGCCCCACCGACCTCCCATGTGAGTTGCTGCCTTTTGGGCACAGCAAATTGCTCTCTGGACCTAAAGCCTGACCCAAGAAATGGAACAAGTTTGAGTTCATTCTTTCGGCGTTGCTAATTAAAATTTATTCACGCTAGTTGAATTGACCTGTCAAAAGATAAATTCACACTATATAGTTAGCTTAAATTTCATTGGCACAAAATCGTTCTAGAATTTGCCAACCTCCTCAATGTACTTGATGGTCTTGTCATCAGTAATCTTCTGCCCTTGCTTATCCACGACATGGAACACTGCATCAAGTTGCAACACATGGTATGACTCAATTTGAACTATATGAGTTGCAACAACACATAGTAGAACAGAGGGAGTGGTATATCTTACCATCCATGAACCATCCACCATCAGAGGTGATGTACGCTTTAAAGATGTGGAGGTCCAGATCACTCAGGACCTGCAGCACCTCCAGCAGAATGCCATTCTTGTTCATGCTGTCAACCTGCATTTCAAAGCAAAACCAAGATGAGATGAGATGCATGGTTCTCACTTTCGGGAACATTACTACTCTGTAATCTATCACTGGAGCTGAAGAGGTTAGAAATGCCTCATACATACCTTCACCAAGGTGCAGTCGGTGCATGTGGTGTTGTCAATGCAAACCCTGCAAAGTCATCACCATCTCTAAGCACATGAAGTAGCAGTGGTTCTAACAAGCACTGAAAGATTAATTGGACGACAATTGAGTGAGAGACCTTGGAGAGTTGATGCGCTGGTTGAAGTTCTCGTAGTCCGGATCAAAGTAGGGCAGCATCTTCGGAGTCGGTGAATCCTTCCTTCCACTGAAACAAACAAATTTATGAGCAAAATATCATCATCAACATCAACATCGTCTAGCGTAGCAACTAGCAATGTCATGCTGCAAAGATGCGCTGTAGTAACTCGATGTCAAGTTGTCAACCATGCATGACAATCCCGGCCAATCATGGAGAGCAGAGACTTGGATCCAATTATTCGACGACAGAGAAGCCAGCACTCATGAATTCCTTGGTAAAGAAGGTGCAATCATTGTGAACAAGAGAACAAACATACCTTTCACTAGATTCTTCTTTCAGCCTGAGCTCTGCACCTCAGATAACCTGGAAATTACGCCATTAGCTGCTGTCGATCAGTCTCTGAGCAAGGACGTCTGAACCATCGGATGAAATGAAACTGCTGCACTGCTTGCACGCTCTGAACTTCCTAGGCCAGGAATTCAGACACTTGGAAGAAAACACAAATGCGCAGAACTGCAGAAGAAGCACTTGCATATTTCTTCACCAGACAAGAGCACATCGCAGCTAGCCGTGGACCGAATCGGGGCCTAACGCTACTAGCTATAACAAGGCCACTCAACTAACAGGTAACAACGGTGGCTGTACCATCTGTGGTCGAAGATGTCACTATAGACCTCTCTCTACAGGGCTACAGCACCATAAAGGCGCAGGCACTGATCACCTTCACCTCAGACCGCACAACAGCAAAGATGACCACCCTCTTGGCCTCTTGGGCTCCGGCGAATCGGCGACGAACAAAGTGGCAACCTAGAGCAATAATATATCATACACACGCACGCATGTCGGCATGTGGCTGCGAGTTGTGATGTTGGTTGGATTCAGAGCGACGAATGAACAGGCGATGGGCGGATGAATTATTGCCGGATCGGAATATAATCCAATCCGGCGGGAGGAGAGAAATCAGCGGCAATGGGTTGTGGCTGTGCAGTGCAGTAGTGCAATAGAATAGAATATAAAATAGGCACTGAGGAATCAGGAACCACGTCACGGTGACTGGACGCCGATAATAAAGAAGCGCAAAATTGCCTTTGGCCGCGCAAATGACAAGCGCTTTAGTCCCGCCGTCAGATTCGCGCCAAAAGTGCGCGCGCGGCCACCAGCAGAAATCCGCCGCTCTGCAACTGGCTTAATTGGGCCACCCCATTAATTGGCCAAAATGGCCAGTAGTAAGGTGGCTACGTCATGGCCTTTTTTTTAAGAAAGAAAAGAAACATAAAAAAATTAATAGATAGGAAAAGACAAAGAAACTGATCGTCACTTTGTGTCACTTTGTGTAATGTTTTAGGTGAGGCCAACCCTTTCTTAACCATACGATCTTGTTCGACGGTCAAATAGCCAATTCTCTCCTTATCCGACGAAGTTTACTAGTTGTCACAAGTAACTATTTGTTTCCTTCGCTAGGCACTATTACCTTTGGCCGAGCGAGGACAGGTGTTTGGTTTCCGTGCCTCGCTTGCTCATATGAGAGAGCCAAATCAGCTCTCCTTGACAGACGAGCTCCTTGTTGCTCGCGCCGGTGCACCAAGTCAAGCGAGGCAAGGCCACGTTGAGAACCAAGCAAGCCCTCAGTCGTCCGGCTATATTCGGTGTTAAGCTACCGTCACAGCTATATATAGCTACAGTAAGGTCAGTAGCAAGAGCTTGTTGCTCGAGCGGGGGCTTTAAGGTGGGCGGGGCTTCCCAAGTTGGTAGTGGTTGGCGGGTCTATGGCGAAAGCTTGGGTGTCTCTGAACCTGAATTGGTAGGAATGGTTTAGGCTGGCTTCACGGAGCAGCGATCGCTGCTCGCTTCCAACGGTGGAGGAAAACAGGCCGCTGCACCATGGTCCTCCAGCAGACCATACCATCTTTTTTATGATGACATTATCTAAAAAAATATATAGTTGCAGCTGCACCAGTAATCCACAGGTGTGGGGCTGAAGTGAGCAAGCCCGAGGTGACTACTGACTAGGGTCCATGGCTGGAAACTTGGAATATCTGAAGTCCACTTGCCTTAGAAGGAAAGTCGTGTGTGGCAAGGTGGCCTATGGAATGAGCTAGCTAGAACGGTGGCACAAGGTTACGACGGCTATGGAATGAACGGCATGGAGCCACCAGGAACGAGGGTGGCAAGAGGGTCAGGGTCTCAGCCTCTCAGGGATAGGACGTACGTCATGGCCGTCTAGCTAGTTCATGCATGAGAGCCATCGCTGCTAGTCTATCTGTGAGCCCTAGGATGGAGCATGTAGAAGTTGAATCGAACACGACTTCACAAGCAAGCAAGCAGCAGGTGAGGGCGTACGTGCTGGCAGAGGACGCCAGTAGACAGTAGTGCTTCCAAGCCCCGGGTCCCCAGTGGCCGACGGTGAGGTACACCGTACCGTAGTACACGGTCCCCCTGCGAGCAAGTCGTCACGTTTTGATTTCTTCACATCGCCCTATTCGCTTTGGGCTTTATGGCACTCTTTTCCAGCGATTTTTCTCCAGCAGCAGCAGCATAATTTATCAGCCAAACGAACAGAACAATGGCCTCCAGCGACCAGCAGCAGCAGCCTGCCTGTCTTCGTGGGAATGGATCCTCCCTCTCTCGCTCGCTGTGGGTGTTGGGAGGGACTAGTAGGACAAATAACAGTATCACACACACACACGCTCGACACGAGGTGGCATGCGGGTGCGGGTACTGGTCCAGCCACTCTGGCAGTGGGCAGCGGCCGCGTGCCCGCGTCCACACGCTGGCTGCCGGCGGCACGGCACGGCTGGGCCCCCTGACCCTGGGGGCCCGCGAAAAGGCCAGGCCCCTACAATCCCTTGTTCCCCAGAGCCCACGACGACGACGAATTCCCCCCAGAAAGACAGAAACCAAAGGAAGGCTGGTCGCTTTCTGCCGGTGGGCGCCGGGTGGAAAGCAGACGGCTCCAGCCATCCAGCGTGCGCGCCTGTCTCATCCCATGATCTCCTCAATCATCACAGGCAGGGCGGCCTGGGCTGGGGCTGGGCCTGGGCCTATGCGTATGCTAGGTTGGTAGCCGCCGCTCGGGTGGCCACTCGGCGACATGGGTGATGCTGAATCGGGGTGTACTTGTCCAAGCATCTCGTCGTCTCTCTCTCTGGCGCTCTGCCTCTGCCTGCGTGACGCCCTTCGTCGTTTCTCGTTTCGTTTGCACACACTCCCTCCCTCTCTGTCTCCGCCGGTGGAATCGATCGCCATCTAGCTATGTGTGTCTACATCACCCCGATCGGGAGCGTCCACTTCGATTCTGAGCGGAGGTACGGGTGAATGGATCGAAAGCGCGAGGAACAGACGGCGGGGCGATTAAGAGCGAGCTGTTGTTGTTACCTGCTCGTCTCGTCTGTCCGATCCTTTGCGTCGTCATCGGTCGCTTCTGCTCGATCGGCTTCCTTCCTCCTTCCTCTGCTTGGGTCCTTCCTTGTGCTTGCTTGCTCGGCTTCGATGCCCGCCCGGCCTGTTCCTACATCGCACAAACAAGAAGGTGGGTGGGAGAGGGAGGGAGCGAGGGAACACCAGGGGTGGAAGAATCAAATCGAGAAAAAGGAATGGCAAAAGGGAGGGAGATATGGATGAGCGGATGGAGAGAGGGGGGAGGGGGCTGGGGGCCTCCTCCTAGTGACCCTAGCAACTAGAGATTGGCTGCGGTATAGTGCTAGCCGTGTACATTGCATCTCTGAAAACAATATATAGGGTGTAGTATTCTATTAGCCGTTGTGCGGCAAAAGAAAAATGTATGGACACAATGGAAATGGATTATTCCATGGCAGCAACAGGCATGGTGACATAAGGCAGCATATTCATGCGGAAAGAAATTCGATCCCTGAATTAAAATGATTGCAAGCTAGTCAGCTGTGTGCCCCTGCTAGTTGTTTTTTTCATAAAAAGAAAAGAGAAAAGGTCGCGTGCAGTGCATATGTCCCAGCAGCTATAATGCAATGGCGAAGAAAGAACAAATTACGTAGTAAACAAGGGAAATCTATCTGGCGGACCGGCCGTGGCAAGATATAAGCACACAGCTCGATCGTACGGCGTCTTGCGATCAGGATTCTAAAACAGGGCGATCGATCGAGAAAAGCATGAAGAATGGATTTAACATTGTAGAGGATGTGAAGGAGATTCGCATGCCACGTCATTCTTCTCTAGACTCTGGTGATGCGTACCGTACCATGCGCGCGCTTCGACTCGATCTGTGCTATGCACGGAAGGATCCCAGTCGTACGTATATGACTATATGAGTTAGTTTTTTGAAAAACTAATTAAGTGTGCAGCACTTGTTATCTCATTTGTTCAGACTTCAGAGAGAAGAAACAACCGCGCGCGTACGTTGGCGCGGTTTGTTCACGCGCATGGCGTTGTTGTTAGCAGATAGATGGTGGTACGATACAGCTATAGATATAACATCTATATCTCTACTTTTTTTTATGGAATATATCTATATCTCTACTTGGTTGTCATCTCTAAATCCGCAAGATATAATTAATCAATAAATCACATGGTCCACGCATGCATTCATTCGCAACGACAAATGGCGTATGTATAGCTACAACATACGAATGCATGTCTGACACTTGGCCGGTTTGGGAGGGTTTACCGGCTTTAATTTCTGCATGCAGCTTCTTCGGCTCTCTCCATGCTCTTATAGTCTTTTTTTTTTCTCAATTATTTCAAGTAAACTAGTACTCCCTTTGATTTTTGCATCCTCATCACAAGGTACCAAAGGTACAATCAAATTATAACTAGTAGGAGGTCCCGATTTCTAGTGCTCTGTCACAGATAGGAGTAGCTAAATAAGCGATATTTTGGGTTATATCTAAAGTCAAATTTTCCAAGCATGGACCACGTCACTATTAGACTAGCATATCTGAGAATAACGTAGGTATGTATTCTACTATATATAACAGTGGCAAAAAGAAAAAACGTATGAACACAACAGCACGATATGTCTTCGGCTATGGATATTTAGCGACAGAGGTTCGTTTTCCTAAGTTCAGCTATAGCATGCTACAAGTCCAAATAGCTGCCACCACTGCTTAAAATAGCTATATATAGTCGACTACAGCGGCCGGTAGGCGGAGATTTGCTATACATACAGACAACATATCAGGTGCAAATCAATCAATCTGTGTAAACTTAGAAACTACCAATCAAGACCACTAGATGCTGATCTAATTGATAGGGGTGAGGGGGCTTAAGCGCAAAAAAAAGGCCGGCGGGTGGGGGCTTAAGCGTAAAAAAATCCCACCTCTCACTCCATCCATTGGATTAGCATCTAGTAGCCCTGATCGGTAGTTTCTAAGTTTGCACAGGTTCGTTGGTTTGCACCTGATACGTTGCCATACATATATACCAAGGGACGGACGTCACATTAGAAATTAAATGGATTATTCCATGGCTGACATAATGCATGCAAGATTCATGAGAGAACAATTTTCTGAACATAATCGCAAGTCAACTTTGTGCTCTAATATTTTCTCAGAAAGAAAGATAAAGGTCATGTGTATATGCCATCCTTGGTACAGTGAAAGAAAAGAGCAAACAAGAGATATGATCTATCTGGCACCGGCACGGATTAGCACAGCTATCTTGTGTGATCGGAAGAATCTAAAACAGGGCAAGTGAAAGCGCACATGAAGGATTTTTAGCATGGTAAAGTCCAGATGTGCGTGGATGCGAAAGATTGAGATTCCATCTCCATTCGCCACTATACATCATGCGCCTCAGTGCCCTCCTGGAGCCTGGATGAATGACTATCCACTTGTGCACACACTGTTCGGATAAGATTTAGTGAGATCAGATCTTTCTTCGATATAAATCTTGTGAACCTATCTGGACAAATATATATGACACAAGCGCTATATATGTTCACCAAAACACACCAGTACAGAGACTAGGCTTGCACACTTTGTTTCTCAACAACCGCCCACCACCTTGTTTTTCTCCATGAAAGAGAAGATAGACTACTTATTTAGAACATTTTTTTTCAGGAATTGTGAAGTTCCTTTCAGATTTTTTTTTTCACTCCATGAGTGAAGAAAACGGGTGTTCTTTTCAGTCATATTGGGTGAACAGTTAGTGCATGGTTCTCTAGTGATAAAGATCGACTTGCTGTTTTGGACAACGTTGCAGTCAAAATTGAGCTTTTTGGACGTTGACCGTAACTATACCTTTTTACTATTATTTATTTACGTTGACGTAAACATGCATGACAAATCAATTCAGTTTTATTTTAAAGGTACTTCTATTATAATTACAGGTACATCAACCTATGCAGTGAGTGTCTACATGGGGTCTTTATTTATAATAAATAAGCATTATTGTAAGTTCCTGAAAAATACAACTAATGAAGTTGCTTATTATTGCGCTCTCTCTCTCTCTCTCTTTCTATGTGTCCATTTTCTAAAATAAGATCCATATAAAGATATATTCTGATAAATTTTGTAATTAGTATGTGTTTTTCATCCACATTCATAGTTCTTCCCCTTTGCGTCGCACATTCACTGCCAAAATAGTGGAATTCTCCTAGTGTTTTTAAGTAGTAATAAAATACTACCACTAGTTATGCACATGGGAATCCTCACTAGTATGAATGAAAATGGGACGGGAAATTCCCGTACCGACCGACACCGTATACCGCATTAACCGATCGCATACCGTTTTTGCAGGAAAAACAGGAAACGGGAAACCGACACCATATTTTAGGCAGGAACGGGAACAGAATCAGTTAAGGAATTTTCTCGACCGTATTCACTGTTCCCGTATTCGGGCAGGAAAATTCCCAGCGGTATTCTCGTATTTTGTACACCTAAACCTCATATTCAGCCCACTGATTGATGCAGCCCACGAAACCTCCCGCTCCCCCGCGCCACAGGCCCAGCCCACTCCCGTCCGCTACTCCCTCTCAGTCATCAATTCTGTATCCTTCATGGTTCAACAATATAACAACGCTCCAGGACGTTATGAACTTGTCCACTTGTTTGCATATGGTTGCTATTGTTGCATCGAGCTCATTATTTTAAGTGGTTACATATATTGATGTTTCTGTTTTGTGTTATCGCTTTCCGATCGTAATCGACATGTTCCCGTTTGAAATATTCTGTTCCCGATATCCCGTAATACCGGTTTTGTTTTCCCGTCCGGCCTTCCCGTTCCCGGCAAAAAAATACAGG